AAGATCTTGGATATGACTTTATACCAACTGGAGGTAGAATTGGACTTCTACCTCATTGGAGGTTGATCAAGAGAGTATTTGTCTTCTGTTAGTACTTCCTTGGTCCCTTCCCATCACATTCCTTGCCTACGTTTTGCCTTGGTCTCTTGTCTTCTCCATTCCCTGTTTGAAAAAGTAGACTTGCACATGATCCATACCAGGAATTACAACTTTACACTGACCATGCAATCAGTTGGTTTGTGTGTAGGTCACTGTCAATTATAGTTGGAGTTAAAGGAGTTTCTCAAATAAAAAATTGCATGTTTTGTGATCTGGGTCTTACGTCTCTGAAGAGAATCCATGAGATCAAAATAATAAAATCTAAATTAGTTTCAGAAACTGGAGTAGTCAGGCTTCCCTGGCAACTGATTTGGGTTTACAATAATTTCCTGTTTTTTTCAAATGTTAGAAGTATTTTTGTTTGTTACTGAGTAGGAAGTCCCTCAGGGAGAAACTGGCAGTCAGAAGAAAATGTTAGTATCATCCATTTTATGAATAATAGTATCTTAAATAAAGTATCTTCAAAAGATGGGGTTTGGATTTTTTTTTTCCCCCATTATCTGCTGTTATCTATCTAATGCTAATATGAGATATTCCACAGTGAACTGTTCTTCTGCCCCTATATTTACAGGGAAATCAGGCAAGGAGTGAAATAATGATAGAGCTGAATGTGTTATGATGAATCAGATTCATACAAAAATGGAAAACCATGCCTGCTAGCTTTAAGCAATGAAGAAAGAAATGCCCATGGAAACAGTTTGTATTGCCCAATTACTTTCTAATCAGTGTTTTGTTAATATCACATTATGAACATCAAATATAAGGAAAAAATGCTTTTCATACTTCCTTTTTCAAGACAGGTGAGGTCTACAGGTATGCAATAAGCTTATGCAATGCTTACTGGAATTTTCCTTGGAATATCTTTTTAAACATTTATTTCCTATTTAACCTTTCTGTCAGGCTATAATTATTCTTTTCTGTCCTGTAAAGTTAAACTGTTCCTGGAGGAAAAAATACAAAACTGATACTGATTTTTTTTTTTTAAAATTATTTCCTCCTAGCTGACTCTGTTTTTAAAATCTGATGTAGCTCCTAATCCAAGAAACAGCTTTTATATAGGTGCTTGGTAGTGGCCATTTCCTCAAACAAAGGGCAGAGTGTTTAGGTTTAAACAGGCCCTGTTCTTTTCTCCTCTGCTTATTGTGAATCATGGAGGCTGA